ACTAGAAAACATCCAGCCTCATAACTGAGTGTTCATTGAGTTCACATTTTGGCCATTTATTGGACGATCTGGTTTGAGCCCCTTAATCTTTTTGGGCTTCTGCTTCTTCGCCTGTGAAATGAAATGATAAACTCATCTCATGTGATTTTTTTTTTTTATCCTCACCCGAGGACATTTTTCCATTTTTTTGTACAGATAGAGTGGGAGGGAGAGAGAGGAAGAGAGAGAGAAACATCGACGTGAAAGGGACACATCGAGTGGCTGCCACCCGCACGACCAACCAGGGCCGGGGACAAACTGCAACCGAAGTACGTGCCCTTAGCGGGAACCGAACCCGGGTCTCTCCGGACCGCAGGCCGACGCTTTAACCGCTGAGCCAAACCGGCCAGGGCTCATATGATTTTTTAAGAAGTCTTTAAATGAGTTAAAACATATAAAACACCTTGAATAGAACCTAGAACATAAGTATATCATATAAATGAATAAAATCCAATAAAAGCTATCAGTACACAAGTTATTCTGACAAATAACAGAATATTTTTTTCTCTTGAATCTTGAGACTTACATGATCATAAAACCATAGGAATAAAAGAAGAATTTTCTCTTTGAGAACACTAAATCATTCTTTGTGTTTGTGGTTCAAAGGGGGAAAGGAGGAGTGTACAGTTTTCCTTTTCCTGTTCTTTCTCATTCTCATTTTGAGAAACTATTTACTCTCTATGAGAGGTCTGAAAAATATGACTTTTATAAAAGCAATCATAATTCCACCTGACTCCTACCCCAGCCTCAAGGATTCTGGAGGTCATTGATATCTGAGCTCAACAGACCCTTCGAAACAAAAGGAAAATATATCAAACATGGGTCAAGTGCTGTGACCCAAAGGAACAATCAGATAATTTTCAGTGGTATTCCATACCATAGAGAATCAATACATAACTTAGGATTATAGTAAGGCCTTGGAGTATGGTTACCCTTTTGTGAATCCCCAGGTGGCATTATCTATCACTTGGTCTTATGTCTTCTATAATAAAACTACTTCTGCAAATAAGTAATTGATTTTGAGTATTATAAGGAAGTAGAATGTGAATGAACTTGAATTTCTATTAAAAATTAAATCACAGACCAAGGTATGATGTAGTCCACTATTATATTTGCTTATTGGTGAAAGGTTTGTCCCTGGTATGGTAAAGAGACCACTAGGGCGTGGTGTATTATGACATGATAAATAAGAACCACCATTGAATCAAGGAGATCCAGGACTTTCACCAGAAACTCCACAAGAGAATTTAAATTGAAGTGCCATATAGTATTTAATTTTTTCTTCCATTTGATTTTTTACCAACCTACATTTCTTCTTACCAAGAAGACCTTGAAGATTCCAAAAGAGAGATATCCAATTTGTTTGTCCACTGGGGTAGTTCAGAGACAGAAGGTAGAGCTGGTCTTTGACACTCTAAGTTCACCACCCTGAGCTTTAGCAGGTCAGCAAGAGTGGGGACCCAAGACCTGAGGAACGGTCACATTATTATTGGCTTTTTCTCTGTGGGAGTATGAGCATTGCAGAGGACCCTTCTTTCTTTAGGTCTCATGACTGTTTTATAACTCTTACTTTAATAGTAGAGCCTCATCCCACATGAGGGGTTTATTTTCCAGGTTCTGAATTCCTTTCATTTAAAATATTGCATGGTGGTCTGATTAGTGCTTGTGAGAGAAAAGATAGATTTTCTCCAACTTTGGTATTTTATATGTCTTTTATCATCCCAGTTTTCTTATAACTTCCCCATATTTCTTCTCAGTTCTGGTATTATTTAGTGTTTTCCATAGCAGGTTAGAGCTGAGTTCCTTGTGATCATTTTTAGTAGTCACACAACAAATCATGTACAGAGCATGAGCCAGTACTTTGCTGAAGAATGAAATGGAAAAACTCTGCCAAATCCAGCTTCATCATCTCTTTTTAAATAAAACACTACTGTGTCATTTATTGTGATCTCTGTTTTTTAAAACTTGAGTCATCAGCTTATTTTAGGAGAGGGACTACAAGGTATACTGCATAATTGATTTGGACTTACAATTGAACAAATAATAAAGTAGACCACTTCCCAGAGTTAAAAAGAAAAAGAATGGGAAAGGACTTATTTGGGGAAAAAAAAATGTTTCTCATATGTAACTATTGAATTTTAAAATTTTGCTTACTTCCTCTAATTATTGCCTATATGATTTTGAAATTTATTTGTGTTTTATACAATAGGTTACATATTGTAAAATAGAAATTCCTACTTGCCTTGTTACCTAATCACAAATACATTCCAGAATAATCCCTGGCATGTAGTAGGTACCCAATAACTATTTATTGACACTTCAGCCTTCTACATTTCTTCTTACTAAGGCATTGTTTCCTCTTACGCATAATATTCAACAAATGCTATGTCTACTGTGTGATTTTTCTTAGGCATTTATATAATACCTCTTTACCTCTCTAAAACCCAGATATTTATCTATAGACATAGAATGGAGTACATACCCAGTACCCTTCTAAACCTTGGTTGGGGGGTTAAGTTTCAAAGGCAGTTTTTGCAAAGAAAGATGTGCTTGTGTTCTAGTCTGTCAAGGCAAACACATTGATGGTAGAAGCCATAGCAGGTCATGCATGATGGGCAGGTAAAGTATTACGTCTCATGGATGATCCTGGAAAGTTATTTGTAAAGGGACTTTGAAATAATTGAGTCATTTAATGTGAGTGAGAGTGAGTGTGTATGTGAGAGAGACAGAGATTGAGAGACAGGAAAGAGGAGTGAGAATTTACAGAGTAGGAGGTACATGGAGCTTGATTATTTAAGGTACAATTGTCCCTCACCACTTCTCACTTTGAATTTCGCGGCTTTATTCTATCACGGTTTTTTCAAATATATTCATTAAAAAGTTGATTAAGGCAGTGAAAATGATACAGCACGTGCTCGGTTGTCTGAGTCGATTATACACGCCTGTATTACAATTACAATTAAAATTAATGTACGTATGGACTGTAGGCCTATGTATTCATGCACCCCAGGAATCCTTCAACGCCAGGTACAACTGCTCGACCACTCCTTGTGTGTGAGCAATAACTTTTTTCCAAAAAATCAGGTGTCGTGAAACCAAGCCAATCAGAGAGTTTGGCTGTTCACTGATTGGCAATCCTATCCTCTTCCTATCCTGGCCACTGATTGGCTCAGCCTCATGCAAGTTTGTTCCTCTCATACATGCTTCTACATCACTACGCATCGCAAGCATCTTTTCTCTTGTGTTTGTGATTTCTGAGAACTTCTATCTAAGCCCCACGATGGCTCCTAAACATGCTGCTGCTTCTAAGCCTTCTGATGATGAAACTAAGCACCGGAAGAAGAGAAGGTGAAACTCTTGGATATGATCAAAGATGGCAAGAAAATCATGGAGGTTGCCCGCCATTATGACTTGCATGACTCTACCATTTGCTCCATTCATAAAGATCCAAAGAACATCCATGCAATGGCTATTGTCTCTTTCAACAAGGAAGCAAAGTGCATCGTGCCAAGTCATAATAAGTTCATAGTGAAAACGGAGTCTGCCCTAGCTGTTTGGATCAGCGACAGCCACAAAAAAACAAAACAAAAAAACATTCTGTTGGATTCGCTGGTCATCTGGGAGAAGGCGAGGCAGCTCTATCAGCGCTTTACAGTGGACGAACATCAACCAGGACCCTCTTCTTCAATGTTCATGGATTTCACGGCCAGCAGGGTTGGTTCGAGAAGTTCCAGAAGAGGTATCATCTGAAGACTGTCATTTTCCACAGAGAAGCTGCCTCTGCTGACCAGCCTGCAGCAGAGGACTACGTGAACAACACGTTCCAGAAGATCCTTGAGGAGGGGGCAGGTATCATCCAGAACACGTGGATGAGCTGCTGAAGACACATTCGGATCCCTTAACTGATGAGGATCTGGTGGAGATGACTAAGTCTGTGAGTTAGGAGAAAGAAGAGCAGCCAGAGGGTCCTGGGGGTCAGGAGGAGGAAGTTGGCCTTACACTTGAGTATCTCTTGCAAGTTGTGAGAACTATTATGGTAGTACAGGACATGACTTGTGAATGGGACCCACAAATGATGCATGCATTGCGGTTCTGGAATGCACTTGATGGAGCGATAGAACCCTACAAAAGCCTCCTCACGCATATGGAAAGACAGCGCCAGCAACTGCCTATCACGATGTTCTTCAGCTGCACACCCAGACACCCACTGCCTACTCCTAGTACTCCTTCAGCGGAAGAAGATGACGACGCACCTGCTGAAGATACTGCACCACCTGAAGACTCTTCTACTGAGGTCGTGCCTTCAGAGGAGCAGTAACCTTGCTCTTCTTTGCTGTGCAGTACATCTCTTCATCGTCATCGCTTCATATTCGAACAAGTTGCACTATTTTCATAGGTTAGTGGTTGTGTGTAAGAACTGTGTGTGTGTAATTAAATGTACAATAATATGATATTTGTAACGTCTAATATATCTTATTTCATTTTGTTTAATATACTGGGTAATACGAGTGTAATGGTGACTAAAGGGTGTTATTTCATGTCTAGAGGGCTCTAATAATGTTAAAAAACGTATTTAGAAGATCGTAAACAGGTTTTCTATGCTCAGCGAAAATATTCGATTTATAAAGAATCCTACTTCGCAGAAATTCATGTATCGCCGTAGAGTCTGGAACTGATTAACCATGATTAACAAGGGCCAACTGTAATGCAGTGTTCATCCTTATCCTTCCCCACTACTGCCCCTTCTTCCCCACGCACACCTTTTTTTGTTTTTTGTTTTTCATATCTAATCTTGCTCTATTTCACCTCTTCAGGAAGCAGGCCGGGCCTGCTAAATGTGATCCATCACACCTCATTCTTAAATTAAATTCATGGCCAAACCTTCAAGGTCAAATTGATAGACTTGCAATTTCTGTGTCTATCTTTGCCCCCAACATTGTCTCTTTCTTCTCACAAATTAGGTAAATCCTACAGCCCAGTGTACCCACGCCTTGTTGAAGATGATTTACTGCTCCCACTGCCAGGGTCTAGTGACTGTGAAGCCATGTTACAACTACTGCTCGAACATCATGAGAGGCTGTTTGGCTAACCAAGGAGATCTTGATTCTGAGTGGAACAATTTCATAGGTGAGCAAGCGATTAATGTATTTGTGTCACTGGAAATAGCTCAGTTTCCTGCCACAAGGAGTATTGTAATTATCAGCTATGAAATTTCTGTTTGTTATTTGATGTTTGACAGTCTAACTCTACTCAGAGTTCATACCATTCTACAAGTAAATGTTCCCTTGAAGTAATGGGGGCATTTCTGGAGATATTAGACACAGTGAATATCAAGTTTTAATAATGAGAGGGTGACTTTTTGACATTCCCCCCCAAAAGGTCAGTTTAGTTATGCATTGTATTAGCTAGGCTTGTATTCATATAAATGTTGGCATACAGTCATCACTGTGCTGCAAAAGTGGCTTTGAAAACATTGTATCCTTTGTACTCCAACCAAGTCTGGCAAACTGGCCAGATACCCATTGGATATTTGGATCAGGTTAAATCTGACTATGGAAATTTAGGGGGTTCTTTTTCTATGGAGGATATAACAATAACAGACTTCTCTGATGCGAATGGAAATACTTTTACCTTGATCTTTTTAGAGGTAAATATTCTTGCATATACTTAAAACCTACAAAATCATTACTGGAACCCAGAGAGCAATGTAAGTGAAATGACCAGTTTCTGAGAGTGTTAATTATGATTTGTGGGGAAGGATAAATTAAGCATGATTTAAATGTCCACTCATGTACTCCCTTGATGCTTCCTTAATGCACATGTTAGTCCTGAAACATCAGTGTTGAAGCTCCTAATGGTGACAGTCTAGTGGGACCACACACATTCAGATTTTTTTTCCATCCCCTGTCACATTGCATAATTGCAGAATTTAAGTGTCTTTATAAGCATCTATTTTTCACCTATTTGTCCACATCATGGAAACATGTATGCAATTTGCTGGCTTTTTTGGTTTTGTTTGATGGGTGAATTGGTGCTGGGGAATGCTTTTTAGTCTGCATGAGAGCTAATTACCATATTAACTCTGAAAGTGCATCAATAAATTGGCTCCAGCAGATTCTTGCAGACACTGACAGAGGAAAAAAAAAAAAAAAGATGTGAATATTAAGCACTTCAGCACAATTGTAACCTACATAGTTCAAAGCTAGAAGACCTGAAAAAAATATTCTACACACAGAAAAGCAGAATTCTAAGAAAGAGAAGGCGTAAGACCAGTAAAGATGCACACAAATGGTACATCATGCCCAGAATGAAGCCATGAGAGAAAGTGTTGCTTTAAATTATTCCAAATGGAAGTAAAAACCCATGGCACTTGCAGATCTAAAGTTTGATGTTTTTTCTTTCTCAATTTTAATCCCACTCTTACTTACCTTGACACCCAAATGTCAGATTTGCGGTTTATTTTTAATTTGTATTATTATTATTATTTTTCATCCTCACCTGAGGATACTTTTCTGTTTATCATGAGATAGAGTGAGAGGGAGGGAGAGAGAGAGAGAAACATTGATGTGAGAGAACACGTCGACTGGTTGCCTCAGGAATGACCTGACCAGGGCCTGGGAGGAACCGCATCCGAGGTACATCCCCTTGACCGGAATCAAACCTGCTACTCATTGGTCCGTGGGCCAACGCTCTATAACCACTGAGCCAAACCGGCCAGAGCTCAAGTTTGCAGTTTATTTTTGCTAAATTTAAATTTTTTAAAGTTTGTTAGCCTTTTCACTTTCCCCTATAACTTCTAGCCATTAGTTCTTTGGGCAAAGGAGCAGACTTTGCCACACGGTACAAAATAATGTATGGTGACAGTGATCTAGTTTTGCTAACTTGTCTACAGACATATCAGGAACAAGGTGCAGAAGGGCATGCCACTTGCACTATTCTGTTATTCTAATATTCTGGCCAAAACTATAACTCATATCCTGTATTAAAATACAAATTCTTGTACATATTATTTCCAAGAGTTTGCAGGTTCATATCAAATCAAAACCATACTTGGCTAGCTTAATAAATATTTTCAACAAGGTACCATAAAACAAGGAGGGCTTAAATTGCTGCTGTTGTTCATGTGTGTTTTAAAATTATATATGTTATCTTTCAAGAAATAAAATTAAACCGAAATAGAAATTGATAGAATTCCTGAATTAATTTTCCTGTTATTTTAAATGATACTCTTTGGAGGGACGAGGTGTATAATTGTATCTAATCTTTATGTTTAATTGGTCTTTTACTCCATTTTTAATGAGCTGATAGAAAAGGCCAGGAATAATAGACATTGTTAATCTCTGGAGCTTTTCATGAATTTTCATAAGGACCTAGTTAATTTGCTCTGTGGTTTTAGAATTCAGTCCCAATTTACATGCCTTTGCTATACGTGCTACAGTTTTTTTGTTTGTTTGTTTGTTTGTTTGTTTTTCTCTACAAGGAATTTTTCTTTCCCCTTTATATGACTGCAATTAATGAATGGTCAAATTTTTTTTTCTCCTAGTTTAAATCACATCTTGGGGTTAAGTCAGGAAACTGCCTTTGGTTCTTCCAGTCCAGTCATGGGGCTCCGTGTAAAAGGAATCACTTTCCCTAGTGAGAAGAGATAGCTTTGTTGCTGGGAAGGGGAGTGACTTAGTGCTGAGATCCTGAGCACTGAAATCTTGTAGCTGGACTAGACCCTTTCAGAGACTAAGAATGAGTTTTCCAAATCTGCCTTCCAGTTGCCATGCCCTCCCATTCCTTTAACTCAATCTATTAAAGTGCTGTCAACCTTTATCAAGGTGGATCCACATTTTTGAAACACCTTGGACTTGGTTTTTAAGAGGTTTGTTCTATGAAAGCTTCAGTTTCAATACTCTTCCTACCCTCCACCCTCAACCAAAAAAGTTTTTCTGGAAAGTCATAAATTATTCTTAGGTTCCACTTGTTCATCACATACTGCAGTAGTGTTAAAATTGTTGGACTTCTAGCCAACCTTATTAATGTCACATGTTGCTGCCATCAGGAATTTAGTTTTGGGTTGTTGGGATTACTGGTGGAGATACCTGCCAATTCCTGGCAGGAGGTAGAGAGTCAGATATCCTGTAAATGAGACCTGTGGCCCAGATCAACCAGAAGAAAACCCAAACTCCAAACCAACAGTGTTTCGCCTTTGCATGGTACTTCTAATTAGGGCTGGCTGCTGCAAGGAAGAGCCCAGTTGATAGCCAGTCACGACTTTCCCCAGGGTTTAGGGGCAGCTTTGGCTCCTGGGCTTCAGGCCACAAGTAGAATGCACCTTCATTCGCATTCTTCAGCTACACAACATGAAATGCCATGGCATCGGCCCCAACAAAGGCCCGGCATCACTTTCCATTCCCAGGCTCTTGTGTATGGCCGGCCAGCTAAGAGTTTACAAAGACACCATACAGCCAGTGAATTGGAGTTTATGTTTCCATTCAGTGGCCTTTCCTCACACTAGGGGGATAAGTAGTTACAAAATGGGCTGTTTTCTGTTGTTTAAAGTCTGTATTTTTGGATATTTATTATATGTCTATTCATAATATATATATTTTTTTTTTTTGGAGCAAGGACTGACTTCTCAGCTTTGAAGGAATGTGCTTTCTGTACATGGAAGCCCTGCTGCTTTGACAATGATGAACACATTTAAGTTGTGCTCCACTTGTTTATAAAAGTCTCCTTTTGCTAGCACATCAAAAGCATTTTTTTCTCTCCTCTAGTACAATGGTATATTCATGCTGGCAGCCTTTACTTAGAGGTTGGAAGCGTCACTTTATTGGTGGTTCCACAATGCAGTCTGAAACTTCATTTGTTATTACTTGTAAAAAAAAAATTGCATTTCACGGAAATCTATTTGTGGTTTGTTACATCAGAATTGTAGTTTAGAGAAATGACCCTGTGCTTTAAAATGATGTGTTGCATTTGTTTTAGGTTGAAGGTGAAAGGTTGCTGACCAAATTTGGTTTCATTGATATGTTGATGCTGAAACTCCTTTTCACTAGAAAGCTTAGGTAGAAGTTCAGCTGTGGTCTGCAGTGTTTTTTGAGGATACACACAATCTTCTGTAAATTAGCCCTTCTTTCCAGCAGCTGTCCTTGGACTATCTGAAGGCTGTGGATAATGTGGGCCTAACTATCGTTTCCTGCTTTAAGCACTGGAGTATAAAGGGGAGAGAACTTGATTATGTTTCCAATTTCATCTAATTTTGTACAATAAGTATCAGGCCAGAATACTAAATCTCATAATCCCAACAAACATGCATGGCAAGAAAACAAGTATAGCATACTTTGTTTAAGAGATTCAGTGTGTGCTAAAACATTCCAGACTCCTCCAACCTGTAAAAGTGACTTGCAAAGTAGTCCATGAAGATACACTGTGAGTACGTGGTTTGTGTGCACTGCCTCTTGTGTTGTCTTTTCATTCAAAGACTTACAATTTTTGCCTAAAAATAAATCAAAGCCCTTATATTTGAAATGGGAAGTTTTTTTTATTTAAAAATTATATTTTTCAAAATTTTTATTATTTAAAGTCATTCGAATTCCTAGGAATACTTCTATTTGTATTTTCTAACTGCACTCAGGCATCTGGAAGGGTCTCATGAAAAAAAATTAAGAGTCGTTATGCCAGGATTTTAACTGATGCATATTTTTGCCTCTTGTAAATGGAACCTGAAATGAAAAAATCCTAGGATCTCTGGGAGAACTAGCATGTTATTCTGCTTCCAGCCTTAGGTTTGTCACCTGGGAACTAGCTCAGAGACTTCTGGTGACAGCCACTGACACATGAAGGAATGAATAATCAGTATAATAGAAGATTCTTGATTGGGTTTCCTTGTTACAAAATGAAACATTCATCTGGCCCCTTCACATTTGAGAGAACTGGTGATATATAGTAATTCAATGCAATTTGGCATAATAGAAATAGGTATAAAAACAGGAATTAATTATAATACATGCCTTCCCCCTAACCCCACAAGAAACAAAAACAATAAAAAATAATCAGACTGATTACCTAAGGATGAACTAATGATTTACTTTTTATATTGTATTCTTCTTCCCCAAACCTCATGTTAGATGCTATGCTGATGGTGGCAGAGAGGCTAGAGGGCCCTTTCAACATTGAATCGGTCATGGATCCCATCGATGTGAAGATTTCTGATGCTATTATGAACATGCAGGACAATAGTGTGCAAGTGTCTCAGAAGGTAATGAAGGCAGGATTTTGAAAGGAGAGCCGGCAGCCCCCTCCAGCTTGTGATGTGACTTCCCTAATATAATCATTCTTGTACCAATGCAGGTTTTTCAGGGATGTGGACCCCCCAAGCCTCTCCCAGCTGGACGAATTTCCCGCTCTATCTCTGAAAGTGCCTTTAGTGCTCGCTTCAGACCCTATCACCCCGAGGAACGCCCAACCACAGCAGCTGGCACTAGTTTGGACCAACTGGTAAGCACTTTGTCAGGAATGGGCTATGATATGACAAAGACTGAAAACATTTGCTCAAAATACATTTTTAGTTGGAAGGCTTACAAGTGGGGGTCTTTCAGGCAAAACTTTTCAAGCAAATTGAATCTGATTGTCAGTAAACCTGCCTCTCTCATTTTCCAGCTAAGAAGGTTCATACATAGTCTAGGAAATGTGATGTAGTAAGTCTTATCTCAAAACCCCCCTGTTGTTTCACCATGTATTTACTAAGCATCTGCTATGAGCTCATCACTGTGCTAGTTACAGGGTGGCTCAGAGTAATAAGACAGGTCCTTGTTCTGAAAAAGCCCCAACAGAGAGGGAAATGCAGATATTGCAGCTTGCTGACTGACTAATGGTGTGATGTATAGTAAATGATAGGCTGGGAGAAAATGTGAGCAAATTGCTTTATACACAGCACTATACTTCAAACACATTAGTAGGAAGGAACATATAAGAAAGGACAGAGTGCAGTGAACGGCAAGTTTCACAGAGTGGACAATATATAAGCTTGATCCAGAATATAAAAGGCTATGAGAAGAGACTGTGTCTTATTGTATCTTATTGGAACCTGGTGGGCTTCTGATGTAGTTACAATGAAGAGGTAGAGTGGGCAGTGGATCCAGGCAACTTCTTCAGAATATTTCAACTATTCACTTGAGTGATTTTGTAGTTCTAAGTATAAATTTGATCTTCATTTTTCTCATGACTAAAATTGAAAATGAATTGCATATCATTCTGGAGATACTTTAGAAATGATCAAAAGGCATATCTCTAGGGTAGTTGTATGTTCTTTTATAGAGATATCTCTCTCTCTTATTTTTCTTAATTAGGTTACTGATGTCAAGGAGAAACTAAAACAGGCCAAGAAGTTCTGGTCTTCTCTTCCTAGCAATGTTTGCAATGATGACAGGATGGCTGCAGGAAATGGTAACGAGGATGACTGCTGGAATGGAAAAGGCAAAAGCAGGTTAGCCTTTGTTGCATGGATTTCAATCTCTCCCTTCCTACGTGCCTGGGTAACCTTTAGAGAGGGTTTTTTTTTTCTCAGTTGTCAATCGAGAAACAATTCAGGGTATGTAGCAACAACACGGAAGGCTTCTAGAGTTTCTTAGGAATGAGTTTTACCATAGCAGTATTGGTAAGGTACCCAGCTACTTGTACTGGGACAGAAGTTTTTGATAGTAGTCACATACTAGCATTATGGCCCCAACCAGGGATCAAGATATTCCAATAGTGTCATTTAAAAAAAATATGTAATACCTGTGGTTCTTTTCCCAATGGCTTGGCCTCATAAAGCTCTAGATCCATTCTCTTTTATTATGATACCCTGTGTCCCTCCCCTAGATATTCAGTAACTTTAAAAAGTACCCACATTTCAATGCTTTACTCTGCCCCACCAACCTCTGCTAAATGGGTACCTTTCAAAAATGTCATGGTTAAATTGGAGAAACAAAATACATACCCAGGAAAAGGAGAAATTCAAGTTCATTTAATGGAAGTTAATTGTACTTGATGCAAATACTAGATACTAGGCAGAAATTTTTGATCTTCTATAACTTTTTGTCTTACTGGTTATCTCATTGGGGTCATTTCTTATCTCAGGTACCTGTTCGCAGTGACAGGAAATGGATTAGCCAATCAGGTCAGTAATCCGGAGGTCCAGGTTGATACCAGCAAACCGGACTTACTGATCCTTCGTCAGATCATGGCTCTTCGGGTTATGACCAGTAAAATGAAGAATGCTTACAATGGGAACGATGTGGACTTCTTTGATATCAGTAAGCACTTACGGTTCTGAGATACAACTTGTTCTTGTACACCTTGACACCTTGTGATGAGAACAAGTGGAATGAAATCTCTATTCTGTTTTGTTGTTTTTTTGTTTTTTTTTTAATAGGTGATGAAAGCAGTGGAGAAGAAAGTGGAAGTGGATGTGAGTATCAGCAGTGCCCTTCGGAGCTTGAGTATAACACAACTGACCACTCTGGGAGGAATGCCAATGATAAAGCCAGCCGTGCTGGTGCCCGTGTTGTGGCACAACCCTACCTCCTTACTGTCTTCTGCATCTTGTTTCTGGTTATGCAGAGAGAGTGGAGATAATTCTCAATCATAGAGAAAATGTGTTCATCATCAAAAAGTTAAGAAGCACCGGTTATCACTTTTATACCATCCTAGTGACTTTGCCTTTTAAATGAATGGACAACGATGTACAGTTTTTACTATGTGGCCACTAGTTTAAAAAATTCTGACCTTGTTTTTTTCATTCAGTTTGGCAGGAAAAAGGGACTTGTACATAAAGTAAGTTCCTGCTTCCCCAGAATCATGTTAAACGTGGCTATCGGTGTAGGTACAGAACTGTAGTTAGCTGTGCATTGTGATTTTATCACTGTTTGTTTTTGTTTGTGGGTTTTTTTTTTTCCATTCAATTATGATCTCACCTTGTTTCTTAACAAGAAAACCAGGGTCCTTTCTTGGCATGTAACATGTACGTATTTCTGAAATATTAAATAGCTGTACAGAAGCAGGTTTTATTTATCACATTATCTTATTAAAAGAAAAAACCCAATAAGCAGTAAAATTTCCACTTATCCCTATTGCCTTATCTGGAGAGAAGAGGAGGTGATTTTGTTTTTTATTATTAAGTTAGCACAGAATGAAGGCACAAGGGGGTTTCTAATCCACTTGTCAGATTATATTCAAGCATCAATACAAGAAGAATGTTATATTTCATTTATAGCTAGTGACTGGAAGAGACTGCAGACTACCCATTTTGGTTGAGCTTAATTACATAAACTAAGACCACATATAGGTTCATTTCTTGAACCTGCTTAAAGTGTAACCCATTTAGAAGATTCTTGGTACATTTTCTCTAGAAAGATAGAAGACCATATAAAGTGTCCCAGCTATCACATGTTCACACTTTTGTTTTTGTTTTTTGGGTTTTTTTGTTTTTTTTTTTTTTTTTTGTAATCCAGTCAAGTTAACAAGTCACACTGTGCTGGTCTTCATGTCCACACTTGATCTTCTTTGAATTGATATCCTAATGGCAGAAATAAGTGACCAACTTATCTCACTTGGCACCCCTTGTTATAGTTTTCCAGATTTAAAACCCAGCCATACAGAGTGATATGTCTTGGGGCTAGCTAGAATCAGGGTGAGTACAGTCTGTGCTCAGGGAATAGCATTAACACTTGAGCAAAGTTTTTGTCTGTATATTTGTATTTGCATTCATTTTGGGATCCCAGTTTTTTAAAAGAAATTCCAAGATGTCTTATGTCTTGTTCTTGCTCAGCTCCCTCTGAAAGGCAAAGGATTTATAGTGGTTCATAACTGGGTACTACTATATCAACCAAGAAGCCCACTTCTACCTTATCAACCTAAAAGTCCACTTGGGGGAGATATGGGTGTCCAGGTTTTTTCATTTTCTTGTGTGTGTTTTTTTTTTTTTTGAGGTGGGAGCGGGAGTAGGTAGAACTGAGAAGACATCTTAGCAGTGACCCTTAGCTATGTGGGTGAACTGGCAAAGACCTTATCTGTTTTCTCAAGTCAAAGAGTAACAACTGCCTGGGCCCCCTTAGGAACCCTTTTCTTGTATCCTTACCAGATGACAGCTCATAAAACTATGAGAATGTTACAAGTCACTTTAAAAGGAGTTTCCAAAAGTCTTTAGAAAGAAAAAAATTCTGCAAGTCTCTTCCTGCTTTAGACAGCCATTAAGATCCCAACCAATTCTATAGAAATTAAAAGCCACAGAGAGGTTGTTTGTGTTATTGTTCAATCTTCAGTTGTAAGAATAAGTCTCTATTTTTATATTGAAACATAATTACTTGATAGCTCAGGGTCTACATTTCATTCAACTTTTTACATCAAATTCTGCAGAATGGTCAAAATGGAATAACAGAGGCTTAATTTTATTAGAAGTAGCCAGTTATTTATTAAAGCATGATGTTAATAAAATAGGCATATTCTGGCTGGTGTGTATAAGTGATTTTTAAAAACAAATCACAGAAGACATAAAATTGAAAAGGCACTCCATTTATGTATGAGGACAAATAGATTGTAAATAGCTAAGCTGCCTTGTGAGAACTTGGAAAATGTGCTGATATTTAGTAACTACCTCAGTTGTGAGGAATTTCCTTTTTAGATTAGACTAATATTTCTTGTACTTGGTAGAAATAAATCTGGTTTCCAAAATGTGGCTCAAAGAGTTATCCCCATAGACCTTGTTAGATTGTTTTTAATTTAAAACTTTGAACTCTGCCCAGCTGTTTTCTTTCAGTCAAGTTCTCTAAACCAATAACATTTTCCGAATTAAATATTCTTGAAGGTTCTTCTGGACTCTTACTGATTTGTTTTCTTTCTTTGTATTTTTTTCTGTTACTCTTTTATTATTTAAATTGTCTCTTGCTTTTGAACTTGAACTATGAAATAAACAAATCATAGATTTTTCCATTCAGGTCTGACTGGATAAATCTTGGCTTCTAACCAGCTGGCAGGCTAACCCCTCCCTCCCCTTGCTTCCCCTCCAAAAAAGAATAAAGGCAAGTTAAATATTTTAAAACCTTAAGAGCTCACAGTATGAGGTAGAATAAAAGCTATGTTAGAAGAACTAACTTTTCCAAAGACTCAGTTAATAGCCTGTGAAGGGTTTGTGTTTTACAGTCACTTTTAAATTATTTTTCTTTCAAACACTTCACCCCCTCTCCACCTTAAGATAAAACATTTTGCCCTGGCCGGTTTGGCTTAGCGGTTGGAGCATCAGCCTGTGGACCAGGGAGTCCTGGGTTTGGTTCCCGCTAGGGGCACGTACCAAAAAAAAAAAAAAAAAGATAAAACATCTTATGACTCTCAGATTTATATTTCCTTTCAAAAATAGTAATTAACATATATTATTTTGATAAAATAAAAAGTGCAAAGAATTGACTTGCATCTTTTAACTTTAGTTCCTATTAGAAATCTTAACAGCTTATACATGAAGTAAAAGTTATCATTTGTGATCATAGAACCAAAATAAAAATAAGTGTAGATGCTGCTGCACAAATTCTACTTTTCCATTTGTGTTGGCAGAATATGTCTATTTGCACAGCTCAAATGTAGTATGTTAATAACAGTATCTACTACAGGAGGTCTTTGTGTGTGTTATCACTCAAGCAAATGCTAAATTACCAAATACAACTTTCTGTCTTTTTTTAAATAGAAGAAGCAGCACTGAGGAAATTCTTTCAACTTAGAACTTAGTGGAAAAACATAACTCAACAGTCCATGATACACTTTACAAATTCAGTTTTTACTTTTAAACTCCTAATATTTTCTTTTAAAAATTCTTTTTATAGCCCTGGCCAGTTTGGCTCAGCGGTTAGAGCGTCGGCTTGCGGTCCGGAGAGACCCGGGTTCGGTTCCCGCTAAGGGCACGTACTTCGGTTGCAGTGTGTCCCCGGCCCCGGTTGGTTGTGTGGGTGGCAGCCACTCGATGTGTCCCTTCACGTCGATGTTTCTCTCTCTCTCTCCCTTCCTCTCTCTCCCTCCCACTCTATCTGTACAAAAAATGGAAAAATATCCTCGGGTGAGGATAAAAAAAAAAATTCTTTTTATATATGTGAAAAATATCTGAAAGATTACTTATGGTAATATAGGAATTCAAGTCTACCAGTAAAGCAAATTCTATATAATATTTATTTTCTAATTTAGATTTTAAGTAGGTAATATATTGCCAGGGTTTAAAAAACAATTATATATAGTAAACATTTCCCTTTAAATTCTTCCCATCTACCCAGTTATCCTAATAACCTAGATACACTCATTAGTTGTTTATATACATCTTCTTCCAAAGTGTCTTTATACATGTACAAGCAAATATGAATATTTTTCTTTCTTACATTTTTTACATTAAATGTAGCATGTTATACCCTATAATGTTTTACTTTTTAATTTTAACTTAAAAAGGAATTTAGAAGAGGGATCCTTAAAGACAGAGATGTCTAGCCCTGGCCAGTTTTGCTCAGCGGTTAGAGCATCAGCCTGCGGTCCAGAGAGACCGGGTTCGGTTCCCGCTAAGGGCATGTACCTCAGTTGCAGTATGTCCCTGGCACTGGTTGGGTCGTGCAGGTGGCAACCACTTGATGTGTCCCATTCACATCGATGTTTCTCTCTCTCTCTCTCTCTCCCTCCCACTCTATCTGAACAAAAAATGGAAAAATGTCCTCGGGTGAGGATTAAAAAAAAAAAAAAAGATAGAGATGTCTATTTTAAAGGCATGGATGGCTTCTCTGTGCTACCATATTTTGGATTTTTACCACATTTTGTCAGATTAGGTACATTTTCAAGAAACAAACATTGAATTGAACAAGGAGCAGTTTGGCTTTATAGCTCTATAATCCCGGAGTGCATAATTAGGATGCTCTCTGTTCATGTTAAGGTTAATTTTTTATAGTTTGTTTTCATATTGTCCCCATTGAAGAAGACATTGGCCAAAACAACACAGTATATTAATACCACTATTAATACTTGCAAATGATTGAAAGGAAATTTGCCCTGAAATTTACTCACTCTATTAGAAGGAAGTATTTTTAATGTTTTCTCAATCCCAAATGCCTTGAAGCAGCATCATCTGTCACATAGGATAAGGCTTAAATTAGTATTAGGAAAAATTGCAACTAAATCTTCTTGATTAATGCACGAATTATTTGTCCAACAGTAAAAGAGTCATTAGAATATGTAAATACCTGTACAAGTTCAGTTTTCATGTAAGGTAGAATTTTTACTCATCGATGTTTTAAGATACTTCTAAGTTCAGCAATAATCAGTAGAATCTACAGAAATCCATTTCTCATCATGAGCGTCCACATGTGGAATTAAATGCACATTTGACTCTGCTTTTGAAATTTCTTTAAAAAATCTTAGGAATGCTGGAAAGAGCACAGTGTTTTGAAAAGAAAAGGATTTTCATTCATCAGTCATACCAGGTAAGAGCTGATGGTGTGGTTATAGAGTGAAGATAAAGCCCATGAGTGATGACCCAAGGTACTTTTCTAAAGTGTTATGATCTTGTTCTCTGGGCTTTAGAAATTTGGCAACAACTTGCTTGCCATTCTGATATTGGGTTTCTTACATGACAGGATGGGAAGTGTGTGTGTGTGTGTGTGTGTGTGTGTGAAATCATATCTACGCACAAATTTATTTGTGTATTTTCAAACACTTAATCCCAGGTAGACAGGTAGACCTCACCTTGTCACTTATAGAGTGCCTGCCAATGGTGTATGTTTGGGAAATGTGGACTAATTTTAATGATAGCCTAAGGGAAACATAATTAGGAAGGTAAGCCTTCTGCCAAGAAAAAATATACATACACATATAAAATGCATTCTAGATAGAATTTTTTAGATTTACTACTACCTGGGATTTTCTTTTCTTTCTTTTTTTTTTTTTAAAGTCATCATAGATAACCTAAAACTGATGGTAAAATATTGTTCTTGGAGACTCACTGCTCAGGGCAGTTGGTATCAGGTTGGCCACAAAGAAATA